CTTTCTCTTTCTCTGTTTACATGCGTGCATATGTGTGTTTGTGTGAGTGTGTGAGTGTATGTTGTCTTGTTTGCCTGAAGCAAATATCATCTGCACTTCAGTAATAAAATGTAGTGCTCCATGTACTTACTTTTTTTCAAAGTAATTTATCAGAGCAACAAAGGCCACCGGCTAGATACTGTGGTATTTATATTGAGTTATGAGGCATATAATCTTTATCCTTTCAGTTCTTAATTCAAATTCAAGGGTAAGTTTGTTTATCTGAGAATTCCTTGAAAAAATATTTTTCAATTTCAGAAAACTTATATTTCCTCCTACTATATGTTAGAAGGTTGCCTGTCCCCAAGTTTTTCTTTTCTAAAATCTTAACATGGTTTTATGGGTTATTGTATTGGTTTATTATGTAACTGAATTTTAAAATTTTTAACAATTGAGTGGCTAAAATGAAAATCAATTTGCATTATTTGAATTTAATTATTATTAGAACAATTGAATATATTTTTCTCAATATACTACCCAAGATGAAGATGCCATCTTTTTTTTTTTTTTTTAACCTCTTACCAGCACAGAATGCAATACTTAACTCTAAAGCATGAGATACACTTTATTTGCTTATCAGGCCCCAAGCACAAAGTGATTGTCCAGTTCTTTTTTTTTATAATTACTCAGCTCCCTTAGAATGATGACATTTATGCTGGTCCTGCATCTGTTGAACGATGCTCTGTAGAGCTGAAGAGGACTGGATCAGAGTTTAGAATGAGCAAATGTTGATACTAGCTTTTGAGTTATCAGGAAAACAGTCTAGAAACATGAAAATAGTTGATTTGTTTCTCTTATTCTTTGCCCTAACCCACACAGTCACACTCTTGAAAGTTTGTGTATGTGTCTGTTCCGGAATGAAGTTTTACACTCTTATCATCACAAATATTTAGGCCAAACACATATTGTGTCAAACTGGCTGGTACTATCTTGTCGTGGAATGATTGTGATTTATGGATTTTAATTTATTCATTGATGAATTGATAGTTCATAGCACATTTTCCACTCAGCAGACACTATGCCAGATCCTGAGAAGATAGTCTATCATGTAATGTGATTCAAGAGTGCTGAGCTGGTTAACTTCTTCTCAGATAACATTCATGTAAAAGTAGGATCCGTGAATGGCAGTGATGTATGCTGCCAAATCTTATGAAATCTTACATTGTAATAGATGCTGATTTTCACCCTGTAGCTTAGATATTTGCTGGGAAGAAAATAATAGATCAGAGATACATTTCCATGATGCCCATTTATATTGAACAGAATTTCAAAATAAATTATTATGTCAGGGATACCCGGTTTTCAACCAAGGATATGATTTTAATTGTAGATACTCAATCACATCCTTTATCTCATTTGAGCACAAATTGTAATCAGAATGTCTGGGACTAATTTTGTCTTGTAACTGAAACATAGTCATGTCCTATATTAATACTAGGAGAAAGTAATGTACTCTAGATTTTATGTCTTAAATTTGCTTAGGGTGATAACGAACCCTATGAGAGAAGAGTGGAGATTTTTTTTTCTAACATTAAAACCACAAAAAAAGATGTATGTTCTTTGATTCAAGAATGGTAATAGCCAAGTGTAAAATAATTGGCATTTGTTACTCATCTATTAATTTTTCCATTACCAAGTACTCTCTAGCAGCCCACTCTCCTGTTAACTAATCTATCTTAGTTCCTATGCTGTCTTCAAGATTTGAATACATATTTGAGCATGCCCAAAAGTTCAGGTTTACCATAGAAAACACTCAAAGCCCCTGGACCTAATGTTTCAAAATTCTTTTTCCTCCTTCTTTAAATCATTGTTTTAAAAATAAAATGGGTACTGTTCTTGTTTTTTTTTTTTATTCTTCCTTTACATTCACAAAACTCCACAAATATTTATTGAGCTTCCAACAGCATTACAAACATATTACTAGGTAAAGAGAATATAAAGGAGAATGAAATACAAATGCATCTTCCCAAGATTAATTTTTTATTATTTGTATTTTTATATTAATTTAAAACAAGCTTGTTTTACATATCAATCCCAATTTCTGTACCCTCCTTTCCCCACTGTTCCCCTACTCATCTCCTGTATACCAGCCCATCTCCTTTCTCCTCCTCAAGGAGGATAAAGTCTTCCATGGGGAGTCTTCAAAGTTTGTCATATCACTGGGAGCAGGGCCCAGGCCCTCCTCCAAGTATCTAGGCTGAGAGAGTATCCCTCTATGTGGAAGGGGCCCCCAAAGTCCATTTGGATACTAGGGATAAGTACTGATCCACCACCAGAGGCTGCAGAGACAGCCTAGTCCTCCCCAACTAACACCACATTCAGGCAATCTGGGTTGGTCCTATGCTGGTTTCCCAACTATCAGACTGGAGTCTATGAGCTCCCCCTTGTTCAGGTCTGCAGTTTCTATGGGTTTCTGCAGCCTGGTCTTGACCCCTTTGTTCATCACTCCTCCCTGTCTGCTACTGGATTCCTAAAGCTCAGCTCAGTGTTTAGCTGTGGGTGTCTGCATCTTCTTCCGTCATCTACTAGGTGAAGGTTCTAGGATGGCATATAAGGTAGTCATCAATCTCATTATCAGGAAAGGGCATTTAAGGTAGCCTCTCCACTATTGCTCAGATTCTTAGTAGGGGGTCATCCTTGTGGATGTCTGGACATTTCCCTAGTGTCAGATTTCTCTTTAAACCTATACTGGTCCCCACTATTATGGAATCTTCTCTATTCTTTCCCTGACTCAGTCTTCATGTTCAGTCATTCCTACAGTATAAACTTGTCTTTTAATTGGGAGGTATTTTGCAAATACATGGAAGATGATGAGAATGTAATGATTCCAGTTTTCAAGATTCAGTTTACTCATGAGCAGCCCTGTCATTCTAAAATTGAAAATGTAAAAGTCTGTGATCACCTCTGCATATTGAAAAAATTGTGCCTCCCCAACAAATGGAGGAATGTTCTCAGGTTTGCTGCAACAGCAGATAGATTTATTTGCAAAGTGCTTACCATAGAGAAAATACTTTATATGTATGTATTAGTTGTTTTACATTGCTGTGACACAGTGCTTGACATAAACATTTAAGTGACGCAGCCTATGATTAGGTTGGCCCTAAGCTTGATCAATAACTCATGATAGTGGGTGTATACTAGCCTGTCAGCCAGTCAAGTCTCCCATGATTTGCATTGTACATTAGAAAAATATCAGTTCCTCCATGTTTATCAAATGTAAGCTCACAGTGATCTACGTCCTCTAAATAGGTCCCTCTCCTAAAGTTTGCAGAATTTTTCCAAATGGTGTCAACATCTGGAAACCAATTATTCAATGTATTAGCTAGTAGGGAAAATATTTATTCAAACCCTGGAAACATAACGGCAAGAACAACAGTAAGCATTATACTTCCTCTCAGCTTTGTTTTTATCTCCCACAAACTGAGACTCTGAGAGCAGAGTCTTTACCTTTGTCTCTAATGTTGCACATGAAAGAGCATAGGGTGCAATCTACATGTTTATTAAATCAAAAGATAATGTCTTCTTGTGCCATCGTAAACCTGAAGGCTTATCCATCTGGGCTGATTTTCATGTGGACCTTATTCTTCTCCAGTTAGCAAAAGCATCCCTTGTTAAAGGCAATGTTCACATGTACAGATTATTCATAACTGTGAATATTTAGTACACTTGAAATGGTCTTTAGCATCACATGCTCATGTCAGTGGGATGAAATGATGGGTAGAATCATTGTATTAAGTTTGCAGAATCTGACAAACATGTGGGAAAGAATATCAAAAACAGTAGCTTGTAACTGCACCTTGACACTATGCTGAGTACCAGGCTTAGGCTTTCAGGTACCCTGATGATTCTTTTTATCAATTGTTTTTTGTTTCACACTCACAAATGTTTATGTGAATGGTGTGTGTGTGTGTGTGTGTGTGTGTGTGTGTGTGTGTATTGTATGCTTGTGTGTGTGTGAGAGAGAGAGAGGCAGAGATAGAAGAGAAAGAAAAATGGATGAAAATGTCCCATTTTAATATTATAATATAAGATATGATAATATATCATAACACAACACAATATTTAAAATTCTAATATTTTTAAAAGTCTAAGTTCTCTTTAAAATGCCCAGAGTCTCTTTAAAAGTGAGCTCCTATAAAGCAAAAACAAAATCAAAAAGGGAAGACATGTTGTATAAAAACAATCACACTCAAACAAAACTAAAACATAGTAGTAGTGTGAATCTAAATTCTGTAGCTCAATATATAACATGTAGGTCTCAAATACTGTATTGTCTTCCACCTCTAAATGGCTTAGGCAGTCCCATTACTCCAATTTCTCAATCATCAGCCACAATAGCTATCTCACATGCTTAGGCCAGCTCCAATTCATACCTGCTAATATCTGTGATAGACATCTCACATTCCTGACATTTCCAAAATCCTGGGATCTCTAATGCAAATGAGGTGCACCTTCACCATCATCTTTTCATGGGTTCTCCATAGCATTCCAATGTGCCACATTTTGATTTTGTATGTCCCAAATGAGGACTATATGGGAACTCTTATATATTGATATGTTTCGCTTTCAGCTGGAGACAAAACCTGCCCTCTTAGACTAGCTTCTGTGTTCTGATCCTAAGAACATATTTTCTTATTTTCCCAATGAAGCATAGCAATTTTCACCTATATAGTGCTATTATCATGTTAATCATAGCTGATTTTTCAGCTGCAAACTGTTTAGCATTTCAGTATAACACAGGTTTCACCTCATTGGTACTTTTCTCCTGTGAATCAGCACTGAGTATTCAGCCCCAGTTGACCAGCACACGAAGATTCTTAGCCAAAATATCAAAATAATGGTACCTAGCTCCATTCCAATGGAGTCCTTGCTTCCGTCTGAAATGACAAAGTCCAGGCTTTCACAGTTTACATTTCCCTCAGCACTCATCTCATATTTTCCAATGCTTCCACTAGGACAACATGATCTGGATACTCACAGCACAAAGTGTTCCACAGTCCTATGGAAACAACATGGTGACGATCATCACAGTGATATCTGCTGCTTTAGTACCAATTTACTATATTCTAGTTTCACTCTTTTGTTGCTGTGACAGATACCATGACCAAAAACAACTTAGGGGATCAAGGGGCTTATTTAGCTTACACTTCCAGGTTACACTTCATCATGAAAGGATGTCAGGATAGGAACTCAACAGGGTCTAGTAGCAGAAACTTTGCATGAATGCTTCTTGCTGTCTTGTTAACAAGCCATTCTGATAAAGTCAATCCCTAAATTGGAAGTCTCTTCTCAGTTCTATCCAGGTTGTGTCAAGTAGACTGGCAAAGATCATTAGAAATATATATATATATATATATATATATATACATATATACATATGCATATATATACGTGTATATATGTGTATATGTATATATGTATATATATATATATACACACATAAGTTTCTCCATTCTTTCACTAAATACTTTATGTTAAAGTTACTTTAAATTTTTCATACATACAAACATTTTAGTGTGTGCATGTGAGTGTGTGTGTATATAACTTTGTGCCCTACTGGGCACAAGTATAAGTGAGAAGACATTTATCAGGAGGAATCATACTGGTTCTAGCGACTGAACTCAAGTGTCATCCTACTGTCCCAAGTTGTTTGTATTTTTATAAGAAATGGACTCATCCCAGGAAAAACAGATATTTGTACATAATTCAAGAACTTATGGAATGAAAATGGTTGCAGCTATTTCATAGTCATTATGGATACTTTATATTTAAATAATTTTTAGGTTGATGCATTTTCTCAGGTTCTAAAACAAATAATGAAATTGGTTATTTTATCCTTAGGATAACTGAAGCTCTATAAAATATGTTAATGTACAAAGAACAGATAATTAAAAAGACCTGAATTTTACCATTTTGTTTATTCTTTTTCTTAAGATTTCATTTTTCTTTTTTAATTAATTTTACTTAAACTAAAAACAATCTTTTTCATTTACATACCAATCCAACTTCCCTCTCCCTCCTGTCCTCCAATCCCCCCCAAACAAATCTCATCCCATCCCCCTATCCACTCCTCAGAAAGGCTGAGGCCTCCCATGGAGGATCATCAAAGCCTGTCACATCATTTGGTTAAGGACCTAGTTCCTTCCCTGTGTATCTAGGCTGAGAGGGTATTCCCATCCATGCACTAGGGATAAATACTGGTTCCACTGCCAGAGGCCATATAGACTGCCCATCCTGGTTAGACACCCATGTTTAGGGGGCCTGGTTCAGTTCAATGCTGTTTCCTCAGCTGTTAGATTCATATCTGTGAGTTCCCACTTGCTAAGTTCATCTGTTTCTGTGGGTTTTCCAAGAATGGTCTTGACCCTTTGCTTATCACTCCTTTCTCACTAGAACTGGATTCCAGGAGTTTGGCTCAGTGCTTAACCAAGGGTCTCTGCTTCTGTCAGCTTCTAGATGAAGTCTCTAGGATGGCATTTAGGTTAGTCATCAATCTCATTATAGGGAAGAGCATTTAAAGAGGCCTCTCCACTATTGCTTAGATTCTTAGTTGGGGGTTACCCTTGTGGATCCCTGAAGATTTCCCTTATGCCAGATTTCTAAATAATCTATGCTTTTTGCTTATTTTTTCTTGTTTGTAAATGCAAGTGATCAGAAAACCTAATTCCTTCCAGACTAATGTGGTTTGATCAAGCCAGACCACCTGAAACAGAGTACCAGGTGATCCTACATTCAAAACAGCTGGACAAAGCAGACTTACAGACTACAGCCAGGATTTCTGAATCTTCTTCATATCCCCCATGATAGCGCCCCTTACCAGCAGGAAGTAGTTTGGAAAGAACAACGCCCAAATTACTAAATATTATCTATAAATGTTTGTTTTCATTTAAATGAACTTGGTTATATAAAATAAATAAATAAATAAATAAAACCTAATATCATAACAATTTAATAATCAGGCGCTATTTGTAATAGGAAGAAATATGGTTGAAATAATTTCTAGCATAAATAATAATAAGTTCAATTTGTATAGTTTATTTGTTAATCTAAAAAAAGTGTGGATAAGAGTAATACATATGAGTATCCCCTTGCCTCCAGAATGGCTGCTTTATGAACAGAAGACTGTGTGAATGATATATTATTCAAATGTTCATTTTTTAATAAAAATGCTAATGGAATGTTAAAATGCACATAAATTAAAATGATCATAAATTAGGATTAATATCATATTAATGAATTATAATACTTCATTCATTAAGATAAAGTGGTGTTTCAATATTTGTTCTTGTTCATAAATTTAATACAATAAATGAAAAGGGTACACTTTGAGATTCAATAAATATTTGATGTAATCTTCTGCCTCAACTTTTAAAAATATTCTAAATTAAAGCAGAAGATCTCTGATTTTTTGGCTCTTTGTTGCTATTTAATGTCTTTTTCATAATCTTTTCTTTTCATTTATTGAAGAGCTAAATACAATTCAAATTGGAGAAGAAAGCAATAGAGCCTGTTCAGATTAAAAGGAATCCCAGGAGCACAGAATGCCTTTTGAATTTGTAGGTGTTTCCTTCTACAACACACCTACTCTTAAGGAATAAATACTTTATATCTTTAGGTGAAAAAAATAAGCATTTTAGTGGCAGTTAAGTAAAAGAGAGTGAAACAGAAATATGTGTATCTCAGCATTATTTTGCAAAGTTAATTATGTAATTTCTTCTACAAATGCAAGATTCCAACATAATGTATATTTATTTAATGATTGTCTGTGTGTACATTGGTGAGCATCTTACATGCATGGTGCCCATGAAGATTAAAGAGGGGACATCAGATTCCTGGACCTGCGTTATATATGGTTATGATCCACCATGGGGTACAAGGAATTAAACCATGTTCTTCTGCAAGTAGCTCTTGGCTGGTCAGCCATCCCAACAGTTTGAAAATAATTAATTAAATTAAATTTTTAAAATGAATTTATATTTCAAAGCAGAAGTCTACACTGTTTCATGGGGAAATCTATACATCAAAACATATCTGAGTCCTTCTTGTGAACAAATCATAAAAGGATTTTTTAAACATGAATAATTGCTTTTCTCAGAAGCTAGCTATATCTGTAAGGCCAAGGATCTACTTCATATTAAAACACTATAATTTTGTTCAATCAGTACTCATTGGTATGATCTTTGATGAATTTGAATTGTTTGGACAGTTGTCATTTTTCAATGAAATTCCATTCTTTTTCTTGAAGTTATGCTCCAGCATTCTATAATTGATAATATTTTCTATTTTGGGGATGATTTTCTGTACTGGAAAAATTGTAGAGAATTAAAGAAAGAAGTGAAAGGACTAATTATATAATTTAAGTTGTTGAATTTATTTGTTGTTGTTATGAATAACTATAGCAGCAATCTGACTAAACTCATGGGTCACTCCATGTGATCTTATCAAATATGAGCCCTGCAGAAGTTATGAGCCATGGTGGCTCTCTTATTTTAAAATCTCATACTAAATGCCAATTTATTTTAAATAAAATTTAAGGAGATGTTTATATTAAAACTGACTTATGGTTCTTACCTTATTGTAGTTCATAACAGGCAGTAGTAATAACATTGTGTGTGCATGGCCATTTATGTGTCTCAATTAGTCAAAAACATAGGTGAAATGTGTTCTTTATGCTTTCTTAGCATTAAGATATCCTGTGAGTTTGTTATAAACAAATTTGAGCACTTTGTAAAAGCTGGTCTGGTAAAGTTCATTATGCTGTAGTGTAACATGCTGGGAATGAAATTATATGTTATTTGTACAGTTTTGCTTAGCAGAGACATGGGAAGTAGTGTAAAGAGAATCAATTTGATATATAAGCAAGAGTCAGATAAATAATTCAGAAAATGATTTATCTATCTTTGTAACTAATTACTGCTACTTTTCATTTTAGTTGCACACAGATCTGGATCCTGGAAGCAAAAAAATCAAGTATATCCTATCAGGTGATGGAGCTGGGACAATCTTTCAAATAAATGATATAACTGGAGATATCCATGCTATAAAAAGACTTGACCGGGAGGAAAAGGCTGAGTACACGTTAACAGCTCAGGCAGTGGACTGGGAGACAAACAAACCTCTTGAGCCTCCTTCTGAGTTTATTATTAAAGTTCAAGACATCAACGACAATGCTCCAGAGTTTCTCAATGGACCTTATCATGCTACTGTGCCAGAGATGTCTATTTTGGGTATGTATGCTTCACAGACCTGTTAAGAGTAATTTTTCAAAGAGCTCTTGGCATCAAGGATGGTATGTTGCTGAACAAAAGACATTTATTTCCTTCTTATGTCTCATTTGCATTTCCAAATCCCTGTTCTTGGTCTAAGTTCCACAGCTCAATAGCTTTAGTCCCTTAGTGATAGAAACTGACAGAGGGACAGTTTTATTAAAATATCGTTCCTTACATAGAAGCATTTCAATAGGCAAAATTCATATTCCTGTCATAGACAAGTATAGTTACTGAGATGGATTTATCAAGATTTTTTCCAACATGCCAACATAATCCTATTGATATTTGGTTCATGTTTAATTCTTTGTGTATACTGACATGCAAGTAAAGTGCCAGAGACATACACAATGATTTAGGGCTACAGTCAGGAAGATACTGACCTAAGCAAGTGGGCAGAGTCCACAGGATTATAGAGTCACTCTTACCAATGAGTTTCCCTTCTTATGTCTAATTTACCTTAACCAGAAAGTGTTTTTAAATTATTGTTATTAACTTTCACTCACTCCATTCTCTGAATCATTGACACATTTATTACATAAAAAGCAAAGCAAAATGCTTTCCAGAGAGTGATTTTAATCCCCCTCCTAAAGATCTGTTTAACTCTTCTTTAGCCCAAGCTTTCATATAGAATTCCTCAAATCTCACACTGTTTATGATAAAAGGAGAGTTTCCAGATCTCTTTCCTTCTGACATGTCAGGAGGAAAGATGCAAAATTCAAAATATAGCATCACAAATTCACTTTTGTACATATAATATATAGTTAGTTTGTTTCAAATTGCATTTCAGGATAAAGGGTATCCAGAAAGAACAGATAAACTAGTCACAGGTAAAAGTAACAAAACAAATTTTAAAAAAATACCAGGAAAAAAAGCCATCAAAGATTAAGTGACTACAGGAAATTGAATTCATCCTTTAAAGCCTCCCCAAATATGACTAGAGTTTCTACCAGAGAAATGCATCAAGCATTTTGATCAACAAAACCCTGGTTCTAGGTTCTATATCTCAGGAACATGTCCATAGCAACAAATACCAGGGAGGAAGTTAAAGATGGAAAATGCCAACACAAAGATTTTTGGACTTCAAGGACAAATTTCTTGCTAATTATCAGGCACATGTATCACAATGTCCCTTACCTAGCCAGCACCATCTTGAAGCTGAAGTTGCTTTTATTTACTCAGTCTGATTGTCCCTTGGTTTCATCTGCCTCTTCATTTGTTCCCTTACCCATGTTTAGTCACTTATTCTTGTGCTTTTGTTCCTTGGTGTTATTGTCCCTTCCTTATGCCTGTTGCAGTTATATTTTTTCTTCATATTTCACATTTACCTCTTTGTCTTTCTCTTCTTCTTCATCATTCCCCTTTTACTCTTTTTTTTCCCTTCACCTCTACTTTTTTTTCTTTTCTTCTCACTTCATCCCCTCTAACCTTCTTCTTTTCTTTTTGACCATTAAGTGGTCCTTTGTCTGACTATGTCTTCAGCCATTTGCTGTGTGGATAGCTTTAAAATCCCAAACAGGGTTTGATCTGCCTGCTTAATTAAACCAGTAGCCTACATGTCTATATGCTTTCTGTATGTTTTCACATAGAGGTCCCAAAGATAACCAAACACAATATTAAAAAAATCAACTTCATTCCTTTTCTTTATATGTTTCTGATTCAGACTTCCACAGTTTTCTGTGTCCCAGTATACACCAAAACCCCCCAAACAAAACCTGAAAGATATTGGTCGAGCTTTTTCTTCTTACCAGAGATTACACTTTTAAAGAAAACTGATCCTCTTTCTCCCAACAGCTAAGAATTACCAATATCCACTCACTCAGGGGCAAAGCTGCATGTCTATCTTTAGTCTTCATGCTGCGATTGATTGAGTTTAGACTGAATGGTATACCACCACTGTGAGTTTTTGTGTACGTACCCTGGTCTGGCAAGAAAGCACCATTTATTTGTAGCTACTATCAACCCTGACTTTTAAATTCTTATTGCTCCCCTTTTTGCAAAAGTCCCAGGGACTTTGTAGGAGATATGCAGTATATACTCCATTTAGGGTTGGGCATTCTTTAGTGCAGTCTTAATTGCTCACTTCATTCTTAGATCAAACCCTTATAAATTAGAACCTGTGTCTTCAAGTGGCTTATCGCTGTAGCATCCATATTTTACTTTGTTAACAAATATCTGGATTTACAATGGAAAAAATCTTCCTCATAGTCCATAGATATGTGTGTGTGTGTTCATGTACAAGTGTGTGTTTCTTCCATTGAATAAAGATGTCCAAGCTCCTTAGCCTGAAAGTTTTTGATGGCTTTATTTTCATTTGATCTCCTCTTCACTATCACCCTATAATGAAACTTGGGTAGAAATACCTCTTCCAGTAACAAATCAGAACTGATTTTATGTCTTCATATCTTATCTAGCATATATTTCTCCCGCCAGGATTCCATTTTATCTACTTCTTGTGAGAGGAATCCTATTTTTATTTATGTTTCATGCTCATCAAAACTGAATGATATGCGCTATAGATGGTCAAAATGACATATTTACTTGGGAAAACTTTTATTAATTCCTAGCCATAATGTCCTCTCCTCCATCAGCTTCACTGTAAAAATGAAGCACACAAACAGGCAGAAACATCCCAATCTCTACAAATCTTTTAAATTCTCAAGTATAAGCAGGAAGTCAGAAATACTTTGTAAGTTTTCTTTTTCTTTCTTTCTTTCTTTCTTTCTTTCTTTCTTTCTTTCTTTCTTCCTTTCTTTCCTTCCTTCCTTCCTCCCTTTCTTTCTTTCTTTTTCATCTTGTTTGTTCTGCTCCATTAGGTGAAGGAATTATTTATCCCATTTATCTTTTTCCTTAGATTCTAGAAAGATGGTTTCTAAACACAAAATTACTAGTGCCTTTGAAACACAGGATATGCTTAATTAGTAATATACAGTGAACAGGAAAACTGTAACTGCCCCATGTTACTCTTTCTCTCCCGTGTATAAGTGTATCAGATGATGCATTTTCTGTTCATGTGATTCACATGCCTGATGATAAAAATGCTAGAGAAGAAAAGTTCAGATACATATACAAATTTGAAAGTTAATTTACTTATGAAAGGTTATAAATAGTGTTATTTCCTTCAGAACGGCATGTGTGTGTGTGTAAAAAAATCTCTTATTCTGCTAAACTGATAGACATAATTAATCTTAGCACATATATACACATACATTTACACACACATATATATAAATACTGTACATACGAACATAAGTGTTTAAATCTCTAATGTGTAACGAGTCTTCAGATTCACCGAGACATTGTTGGAGTTATCAGAGCAGGTTTGTGTCTTTGTGTCCTAATTCCATTGTTTATTCTGGGGTTGTTTGAGAAATTTTGACAGGTTTAATTATTGCCAAAGTTTTTATAGCTATCATTACCAATTAATGATTTTCATGTTTAAATACAATATAAAGGAGTGCTTTAATAGATTATTGTACCATTATTGGTGTTTTGGCAGTGATGAGAATATTTTTATTAATATACTACTTATATGTACATTCTTCTATGTATTGGTTTTAAGTAGTGGTGTCTTGTTTTTATTGGATGCTAATTTCCTTGTCTAAGGAAGCAGAGGCAGCTATGCTGTTTCATACTTAAGTGTGTACTATTCTCTTAATTACTCATGAAGGTGACTAGGGGATGAAGGTCACCAACTATCTCTCTTTTCTACCTGTTAACACTGTCCTGTTTCACAGTGTCTCTCCCATTCATTTCTTCTTTCATTGTCTTCCTTTGCTTCTTCAAAAATGCCAGTGCTGCAACCATATGTCTGGAGTAATGCCAGCAAGAATTAAGGGAAAATAAAAGTCTAATTGAGAAATTTACCAATATTAAGCTGAAATAAATGTGATTTGTCAAAATTGCCTACCAGTTGACAATCTGTTGAGACAAAACACGTATAGACACCCATACACTGTGTGTGTGTGTATGTGTGTGTGTGTGTGTAGACAAATAATTTAGTAATATCTTACTTGGACACTGGAGACATGGTCCTTTTATATTATACAGAGAGTTTCAGGTCTTGGTGATAATTTGCTTCTATGACAAAGCTGGATGTGTCTTATTCTAACAGTGAAAACTGAAGTTACTTTACATTTTTCTTTTAATTGTTACTTCAAATGGTAAGTATACATTTTAATAATATTGTATACTGAGGTTTTAATTATACATGTAAGTGAAAATCTGAATTGTGGAATAGTAAACTTTCTATTTGCTTTATAAATTGATTCTGGAATTATTAAGTTGCAAATCTGATTTCCATGGTGAGAGTGACAATACTCTCATTTTAGGGACAATTTATCTACATAGTTTAAAAAATAAATCCTAGCAGGAAGTACGCTTAGAGAATTCAAATTACCAAAGTGCTAACTATGTGGCCTAAAATAGTACTGCTGTCTAATAGAACTAGTTTACTTATAACCAATCTATGATTTCCTTTTAATAGTATCATCCAATAAATTGATGAAGACATGATGAATAACATGGTCAATGGAAACATGTTCAATGACAAATTTTCTACAAATTTACTTATTAGAATGAAAATTATTTTCTTAAAATGGCTAGCTAGTCAAAGGGTTCTAAAGAGACCTGACAGCAGGTAGAATTTGAGTTGTAGGTCATAGTTTTATTCTTGTTCATGCAGATACAGACTGCATGAAATTCGAGGTCTTTTTGTTTGCTTACAAGCAAGGACTGCTCTAACAGTTAACAATATGTATTGAAATGCTTCGGCAGCTTATTGTATATGTTAAATGCTTCTAATATTTACCATTGCACTGTGATTTTAATACAGAGATAAATTTCTCTTGTCTTTATTAGTTTTAATCATAAAACAGGAAAAAAATCTCTAATATAAAGGAAGATTTTTAAATTAAGGAGCTCAGATTTAACTTTAAGCATCTGTTGCTACCTCCCATGGG